TCTACAAAAGGAACGATTTCCTAAACAGCTAAATGCCAAGTTGTCCCTACGAGCTGATGGTCCATTCAAGATAATGCAAAGGATCAACAACAATACTTACAAGGTAGAATTACCTGGTTCTTATGGTGTATCTGCCACCTTTAATGTCGCTGATCTATCTCTGTATGTTGATAAAGATGATGAATTTAACTCAAGGGCGAGTTCTGCCCAACCCGAGGAGGATGAAACGGAAAGAGCAGAAACGAGAAGAAACAGAAGGCACACACATAATAGAGCAGAAACGGAAGACACAAACATAATGGAGCATAATAAACTCTTTGTAACCTCCCCTTAATTTTTGTAACCTCCCTTTAAATTTGTATGGTTCAGTTTCACGATTCCAGGGCTATAAATAGGACCCTTATGGTTGTGTAAGAGGCAGACTTGAAAAGAATAAGAATTGCTTGTTTTCATTCAGTTTCTGTGCCAAGTTGTTTTCAGCAAGATGCAAGACAGTTTAACATAAAAGGTTTCCAAATTCTTGTGGGACAGGACTATCTAATTTATTTATGTGTAAGAACACCTCAGATAGGTTAGTCAATCCACCAAAACTAGGAGGAATCATCCCTGAGAGTTGGTTTTCAGACATTTTAAGAACACTTAAATGTGTGCAGTTCCCAAGAGATGGAGGAATAGGTCCATAAAAGCTATTCCCATCTAAAGCTAGCACAGTTAAGTTTCTTATATTCCCTACTTCATCTGGAATTCTACTACCAAGTAGGGTGTCCTGAAAGAGAAGATTTCTGATCCCTATCAGTCCACTCTTGGGCTGATCAGAACCATCAGGAAAAAGATGAGGGTCTAGTGTCTCGGTAATATTGTTTCGTGAAACATCAAGCTCGTAAACTTGAGTCAAATTAGCAAGAGAAATAGGTAAAGTGCCATTGAGGTTGTAATGACCTTAAAATTTCAAATATATATAAATATATATTCTCTCAATTTATATTTTATTTAAATTAGTTTTATGATAAATGAAAAGTGGTGATTTAGTGAAACTTTCGTGAAACATCAAGCTCGTAAACTTGAGTCAAATTAGCAAGAGAAATAGGTAAAGTGCCATTGAGGTTGTAATGACCTTAAAATTTCAAATATATATATATATATATATATATTCTCTCAATTTATATTTTATTTAAATTAGTTTTATGATAAATGAAAAGTGGTGATTTAGTGAAACTTATGCTAATAGTTTACTTGAAGGTTCAGAGTTTGAATTCTTTTGACCAATAGGCTAAATTTTATTAGTGTAAAATTTTGGAAAAGATTACAAGAAGTGCCCATTTCTCTTATGTTATTAAAGAAAAAGCTATGCCCTCTCTTGTAATTTTTATGATTTTCTAATAGTCAGATTTTTATTTCTCTCCCCTCTCGGTCAGACGCACAGAAGGGTGAAAAAAATTTTGAGATCTTTCGACTTAAGCTTCACCGATGCCAGCTCCCTCTGTTGCTCTTTGATTTTTCCGGCGAGCTCTTGTCGCTTTACCTCCAGTCAAGTCTTCCCCATTTTCTTTCCTCTTCTTTTCTTCTCTTTTTCGACAGTGCACACGCGTTCTAGACCAGAGGAAGAGAGTTGGAAATTTTTTTCTTGATTCCAGTAGCTTCGAACTTCAGATCCGAAATATCCTTCCTATCATCTTCCTCTCCGTGGTCTTATCCTCTAGCTAGTGATAATAGCGTGCTTGTTATCGCCTAGTCATCTTCCTCGTTCGATGATTTGCCTCCTTCACTCGCGACTGCGTTGTTGCTAGTGCGTGGGAGCTGATTCATGGAAGCTAAAAAACTAGACGGAGCTGCTACTGATGCTTCTTTTTATTCTTGATTTGATTTTGCTGGCTTTGTTCTTCTTTTTTTGTATGATGCATCAGATTTTCCCTCCCCTGTTCAGCTTAAGGTGTAATTTCTTCTCCCTTTCACTGTCTTTGTTTGGAAATTTCTGGTACAAAAACTTCAAGTCTTCTCCATATTTATTTTCGTGCGAGCAGGTGTATGAGTTGATGAATTGAGGTGCAAAAATTTTCTCCATAAAGGAAAAGCTTGACTGGTTGTAATGTGTATAAAGGAAAAGCTTGATTAAAGATGAAATTTGTGGTTGTATAAGAGAAGGAGATGATGGAGTGGGTTTGTATTTTAATTGAAATTCATTATAACATTGCTATCAAAAATTTTAAGGAAGTGATATTGATGAAGAAGAGATTAATATGAGCTTAAATATTGATACCCATAAATTATTTGATTAAATGCCCGTTTGGAGAGTTTTTGCTTGACTGTGTGTTTTCTAAAGTTGTAATGATTGAGGCAAAAAGGATGATTGATTCAAAGGTTATTTAGTAGAGTTTTAATTTGAGCATTGCAAAGGAGTTTATTTAAGAAGTTATTGAGGTCTTATTTGAGTTTTGAATTGTTGAGAGTTACAAAATTGAAAGGTTATAAAGTACATTATTATTTTGGAAGTTATATTTGAATGCTTGAAAATGGTTGGGTAATAGAATTAAAGGTCTCGTGTTTTATTGAATGGTTTGAAATGTCACACATTAAATGTTTGGTAAAAAGCTTAAGAGAAAAAAAAATTTTATGAATGAATTGTGTTCTTAAAAAATTCAAAATTATTATTGTTAATTTTAGTTGAGTAGGTTCTCTCGAAATGGGGTCTTGTTGGTTTTAAAAAAATAATAAAGTCTGTTAAAATATTATTATATATTATATGTTATAGGATGTTTGGAAGAAGGGAAGCTCAAATAGAGTCATAAGAAATGAGTTTGGAGCCTTGAGGATACTACAAGTAAGTGGATAGCGTCCCAACTGATTTTTTTCAATCAAAATTTCCTTTACTAAAATACTATGTTTTTTTAAAAATCATTTTAATAGCATTAATGCGGTTATTGGATATTTGTTGATTAACATTTCTTTATTTTGAGAAATTAGCTTTACAAAATTTGAAATGTTATTTGATCAATCAAGTCAAGTTTGAACTTTGATTATGAGATTTTTATTTTATCAAATATTGGATTGATACAGAGAATGATTCATGCGAGTTCGACATTGAAAATTTTTTTTATTCAATAAATGCAAGCATGGGCATCGGATATGAAATTTGATTCTGACAAGTTTTAATGTTTAAAAGTATTCATGCGAGTTTGATTTTGAGAATGAAAACTGTATCATGAAAGTGATGATTTTCTCGTATGTTTAAAAATGGTTTTAAAAAGGGACTTTATATAGAATACTGATTGCTAACGGCAGTTCCGTTAGCCCTTGGCGCGCCATGGTACACCTAGCTAGTAGGGTGTATATAGGAGGTGCTAGCCCCGTGCGATGGCCAACGCATGTGAAACGAAGGGATGGTTATTCGTGAGCATCATACTCACGTTTGTTTTGTAGCTTCGGCTGCGTTTGATTACATACCCTCATGGACTGTGTGTCCACGTTTGATTTGTGGCTTCGGCTGCGTTTGATTATTTGCCCTCGTGGACTATGTGTTCACGTTTGTTTTCGTGGCAAGAGCCATGTTTAGTTATTTGCCCTCGTGGACTGTGTGTCCATGTTTGTTAATTGTTCTAATAAGTTCCTATAATATGAATTTGATTATTTGATAATTTTACATCCTATTGATTTTAATTAGTAAATTATTTATAATTATTGATTTTGTTTATTTGCTTCATTGCAATCAAGTGATAACATTATTTAATATGAGATTTTAATGGTTCGAGATTTTATTTAAAAATTTTATAAAGTCGTTTTATTTTGAAATTTATTCAACTTTTATAAAGATCGTTGCTTCTTTAACTTACATAATTGGTTAAATTTTTTTATGTTTAATTATTATTATTGGGACGTCATTCACTGGAAAAATATTTTTGGTCTCAGATAGTGTAGTAGACTGTGTACCTCCATTAGATCCTTAAAGGCATTTTGCTTCTGGACTGAAGTTGAGACACCATTTTGGTTAATTTCTATTTTGATGTAAATTTATAATTCATATATTGTATTTTTACAAATAATGTTTTAGGTGCTCCACATAGATTATAGTTAGAGTCCTGATTCTATATTGTGCTATTTGATTGTTGTGGAGGAGAGGAGTTCTCTTTTGCTGAGTTGATGATGTCATAGATTGTGATGAAATATTTTTTTGAGGTTCTATGTTTTCGGGGAGGTTCTGTTAAAAATCTTTACAAAAAGTTTAAGAATATTTTATTTCTTTAAAAAATTGTTACAATGATTTTCTATCCTATTTTAAATGAATTAAAATATTATATTAAAGTTTCCTTAATCAAGGCTTAAGGAATATATGTTTATGCATATATCTCGTGCCAGTCACGTCTAATTTTTAGGGCATGATAGAGGTAATTCGTAGAAAGGTCAAGGTATTGCAGTTTGGAGAGAACCCCAATGTTTTTTGGTATGCTACCAATCAGGTTGTTTGTTTTAAGATCAAGACGAAGAAGATTTGGAAATGTAGAGAAATTCAAGTTTTGAAGGGTACCTTCAAGGCCAATGTAAGCCAAGTTTATTTCAATCACACTTCCTGAAGAATTATCACATGTTGTTCCATGCCATGAACATGGGCTTTGAGCTGCACTTGAGTTCTGCGCTGGAGAGACCCATGACTCTAAGATTGGCTGACCTGTGAGACTGTCTTTATAATGACCCTAAATTTTAAATTAAACAATTTTTTTTTCTCCTAGTAGATATTTTATTAAAAAAAAAGTTTAATAGCAAGTAGAAAGGGATAATTTATAAGAATTTATACTAGAAATTTTTTTAAGGACTTAGGGTCCAAAGTTTTTTGAGAAAAAGCTTGATTTTAAAATTATAAGAGAATGTAGTGCCTTTTTTGTAATTTTATTGTGTTATTTCTTGTGATTTTCTCGTGTTCTTCCATGTAATTTTTCCAGAAACTTCTTTTGTTCGGTTTTTATGTCTTGCGTGGAGGCAAATACAGAGCATCCTGGAATCTTCTCTTCACCGACTTAGATTTCGTTTCTTTCATCATTTTCGAAACCTTCCTCCTCCCCTTTGAACTTATACTTCTTCTCACCGGTAGCGTGCATGTTGCTTCGCTGGTTCATATCTTCTGTTGAGCGTGCAGACTGATCAGAATCCTTCGTTCATCCCTATTTCGCTGCTTCTTTGTTCAGGTTCGACAGTTCTATGTGCATGTGTGTTTAGCTTCAGTTTTTCTTCCTCCTCAGCTGTGGGAGGCTCGTGTGTGCGTGAATAATAAGCTCAAGTTTTTTTTTCAGTCTACAATTCTGTTGCTCACCGTTATAGAGGTCGGAGTCACGAGTTTGTCGTTCCCCTGTTCTTTGTTCACCATGGATTCCTTCTTCTCCCTTGCTCGTTGGCATCATTTAGGTACTGGTGAATGAAGCTCGTCCTTTGTCCTCCTCCTCCTTCGTGCAACAGCTTCTCTTTCCTCCTCCACCATCGAGTTCTGTCGGGCTCCCTCTCCCCTGTACAGCTCCTGCAAATCTTCTCTCTTCTTGCTGTGCTGTCTATGATTAAGGTGAGAAGTATTGAGATCTTCTTCCCAATAATCTTGTGTGCGTGAGTGTGTGAAGTATTAGTTGAAGTTGTTTTTTCCCTCTGGTGATGTTGCTGTCCGTGCGATGAAAGAAGAAAGAAATTTAAATTGAATTGGAAATAATTCTCTACACTTGTGAGTGTGGACTGCTGTTGCTATGCGTTAGAGTGTGGTTTGCTCTGTGTGTCCGTGAAATTACCAAATTTTAGCATGTTTTCTGTTATTGCCGTGCTGTTATAGGGGAGAGACAATTCAAATATTGAGCTACCAATTTATTTTAAAGATTGAGAATGATATACTCATGGGTCATAATTTTTAAGTTAAACTAATTGTTTAGATTGGGTGATGTTGAAGAATTTGTCAGGATGAAGTTAGAAAAGAATAGCTCAAATATAAAACTTAAATATTGATGCTTATAAGATGTTTGTTGAAATGTTTGCTACTGAATGTTGCAAAGTTCATAAGAAATAATAATAATAATAGTAATAATAATAATAGTAATGTGATTATTTAAATCCTTGAAATTGAATAGTTTGTTGATGAAATATATGTCTTTACGTACAAGTTGTAAAGTTGATTTACTCGTTGGATTTGTATAGCACCAAAAAAGGGAAATTGTTAGGTTATGTGATGACTGAGGTTTTTATTAAACATGAAATAAGAAGAGTGTTAATGATTGGGGTTGAATGTTGTTGGTTTAAATGCTAGATTAATTTAGAGTATCACTGGAGAAAGCGGGAAATTGAGGGAGTTTAATTATAAAATTATTGAAAAACTCTCAGGTAAGTGGATAGCGTCCCAACTAATTTTTTTTAGTCAAAATTTCTTTTACTGTAATATTACGTTTTTTTAAAATCATTTTAATAGCATTAATGCAATTATTGAATATTTGTTGATTAATATTACTTTATTTTGATAAATTAGTTTTACCAAATTTAAAATGTTATTTGATCAATTAAATCAAGTTTGAACTTTGATTATGAGATTTTTATTTTATCAAATATTGGATTGATACAGAGAATGATTTTTGTGAGTTTGACTTTAAAATTTTTGAGTATTCAATAAATGCAAGTATGAGTATTGGATATGAAATTTTATTCTGACAAGTTTTAATGCTTAAAAGTATTCATGTGAGTTTGATTTTGAGAACGAGAACTATATCTTGAAAGTGATGATTTTCTCGCATATTTGAAAATGGTTTTAAAAAAAAGAGACCTTAAACAGAACACTGGTTGCTAACGGCAGTTTTGTTAGCCCTTGGCGCGCCATAGTACACCTAGCTAGCAGGGTGTTTATAGGAGGTGCTAGCCCCGTGCGATGGCCAACGCACGTGGAATGGAGAGATGGTTATTCGTGAGCATCGTACTTACGTTTGTTTCATGGTTTCAAGCCGCGTTTGATTAGTGTTACCCTCGTGGACTGTGTGCTCACATTTGTTTCGTGGCTTCGGCCATGTTTGGTTACTTACTCTTGTGGACTGAGTGTCCACGTTTGTTTTCGTGGCATAAGCCGCGTTTGGTTAGTTACCCTTGTGAATTATGTGTCCATATTTGTTAATTGTTCTGATAAGTCCCTATATTTATGAATCCTATCGTTTGATGATCTCATATTCTATTAGTTTTTTATTTAGTAATTTGTTTGTAAATATTTATTTCATTTATGTGCTTTCTTGAAATCAAGTGATATTAACATTTTCTATGATAGTTCAATGATTTGAGATTTTATTTGAAATTTATAGAGCCATTTTATTATGAAGTTTATAAAGTTTTTATGAAAATTTTGTCTATTTAATTTACATAACTATTTCAAACTTTTCATTTTATTTATATCCTATTATTTATTATTGGGACGTTATTCACTGGAAAAGATATTTTGATCTCAGATGGTATAGTTGAACTCGTAACTCAAGGTATCCACTGAGGAGTTTTATTGCTGAATTGAAGCAGAAGAATTATTTTAGTCAAATTTTAATTTGATGAAAATTTGAACTTTATATCTACATTGGCGTCTGGCCTTAGGTGCTCCACGTAACTACAAGTAAGATCCTCACATTTCTTTTAAAATTGAATATCTGATTTAATATTATAACATTTTTAATTACTTTACTAGTGTGTTTAACATATAAATTTCAGAGTTTCTCTGATCACGGCTTAAGGGATGTGAGGTTTATGCCCATATCCCATGTCGGTCACACTTGATTTTTGGGGTGTGACAATCTTTCCACCTTAGAAGGGCTTCTGTTTCAATCTCTTCATATATTCTTAAACAATTGCCAAGAAAACCGCACATATGGCTTGAACTGCAAGGTGAGCATCAAATTTATGCTTGTCATCCATTTTTATGAAACTGGTTCTCTCCCTCCCTCCCTCCCTCCCTCTTTTTTTTTTTTTTTGCACATATTTATGTTGTTTTCTGGGGATTTAAACAGGACTCTGGTTTGTTACACGAATTGACAATATGTATTATGTAGTTAACTTTGCATGGGAATATGGCAACATTTGTTCTCAATATGTCAATCTGATAAATAGAGCAGAATGTAACTTTTGAATTATATAATATTCTATCTACAAGCACTTCGTGGATTCTTATGGTTTTGGACCTTCCTTCTATTTTTAATATTTTTCTGTAACCTTCAATTTGGATGGGAAGAAAGGTTGAGAGAAAAGAAAATAAAAGAAGAAAAAATGAGGGAAAAAAAAAGAGACAATTGAAAAGAAAATGTTATAATTTCTTATATTGGATAGACAAGAGAAAATTGGGAGAAAAGAAAATAAGCAAATATCACAAAAACTATAATACTCTTATATTAAAATATATCATGTTTCATGTAAGTATCATTATAAAAATAAATTGAAGGTAGAAATTAAATTAAAATCCACATCATAAAATTAATTTAAAACCAAAAGAATTGTTAAAAAATGTATTTCAATGTAATTATATTTTAAAAACAATAATTTTGTGAAAATAACTTATTTCTATTTAAAAAAATTTGGTATTTAAAAAAATAAATATAATAAAATAAAAAAATATATAGTATACACTATCCAATATTATCAATAAAAAAAACGCTAGATTATCCAGTATTATCAATAAAAAAACAAAAAAAAAATCTAGTATAGAGACGCAACAAGCATGGAATTGCAAACGAAAAGGGTGGGGACAAATGGCATACCAGTGAAAAATCAACTAGCAAATCCAAAAAACTCAACACGGCAGACCAGCTTCAAAAATGATTTTACTCCAAAAATGGAAAAGGGGGAAAGAGGAGAGCAGATGGGGAACGAAATTTTACTCCAAAATCTCTCCATTTGTGAGAGCAAATTTGGGGAGCTATTTCAAATTAACCACAATATAGTTCTAGTTCTATACAATATAACCGTTATATAAATAAAACTATATAGTGATTATTTTAAAACAATTGCTATATAGTTTACTAAGCAACCTGTAAAAAGCCAATTAAAACTGGAGCTAACTAAGGATGTGGATTCTCTCCATACTCTTTCTCTCAATACATTTGTTCATACCTAATCGTAACCATTCATTTAATTATTATATTTTGATTTCATGGTGTGAGATTACTAATTATAACATTAAAATAAGTATGTTATTCACTATGATCACTTAAATACTTTTGAAAATAAGATCACAATGCTTATTAATAATAACCATTAAATGAATAGTATATTTATTTTAATTCTATAATTAGCAATTTCAGACCATTAAACCAAAATAATAATTAAATAAATGGTTAGATGGGTATGGAGAGATATATTTAGAGAGAGTATGTCAAAACTAGAACAAACAATATAACTTATATTCTGAAATATATAGCATGAGAATATAACGGTTAAAAATGGTCATATATATTGATAAAAATAATTGCTATATGGAAAAATTTTGCAATAGTGCAATCCCAAACCCATGAGGTGAGACAATGAGAGAGTACTAATACTCCAAATAAAGTCCATACCATACATGGCTTTTTTATATAGATTTTAGAGTTACCAAGAGGCTAGGTGATTAATACCATTGACAACCTAATCAATTTGAGGGGTAGATGGAAGGATGAATTAGTCAAGGTGCATGATTAATCATTACAAGGAAAGTAAATTAACATAATTTAAAGGAAGGCAAAAGACAAAAGGAGGCCAATAATTGTCAATTAAAAATAGGGCCAAAAAGACAAAAGGAATGGAATTAAAGGAAAAGTAAAAGAAAGAAAGTAAAGAGGAAAAAAAAAAGGAAATTAAGAAGATACAGTGAAAATGACAAAAATGGAAAAAACAAGAATAATAAAGTTGGTAAGAAAACAACTAATTAATTTAAAAAGAATACTTTCTTTTTCTTAAAGTATAGCTTAATAACACCACTTTGACAAAAGAAAAAAGAGAATAACAAAGTTGGTATAAAAAAAATTAATTTTGAAATAATATTTCTTTTCATGAATAAAGCTTAAAAACACGACTTTTCCTTGAATTCAAAGGATGCTGTAAATAAAAAATATTTATTAAAAGAAAAATAAATGAACTTGATTGACAAAAGAAATAAAGCAATAGGAAGTAAATATTTAGTTAATAAATCCGAAGGAAAAAAGCAAGAAAACTAAAATACAAAAAAATAACATAGAAAAGAACGTTCCTCATTTTCCATTATAATTAGCCTAAAATTTTTGTTGGGGGGGGGGGGGGGAGGACCTTTTTTTTCCCCCTGAAGTGCTAACTAATCTGAGCTGACTCATTTCTCTTAACAACCTTGCATTTGAAGGAGGTTTGTGAATAAACCAGCTGCTGGAATAACGGTGGCCATGTGATCTATTAATGGCTAGTGTTGAACAACTTTTAAAATAAGTTGAGTTCTATCGTGTTTTGCTTGAAGAATATGACATTCATGGAAAATATTATTATTATTTTATTTCCAATTAGTTTGTACTGTATATTTATTATCTTTTAAATTATTTATAAACATTGTTATTATCACTTTTTATATAGTGAAAATCGCATTCAAAGACCTAGAAAAAAAGTTATTCACAAACAAGGATAAATGACATATAATCATTTCATAAAAAACAAGTTCATGTTCTCATTTAATAAAAAAAAAAATCAATTTCTTATTAGCCTCCTCTGTGAATAATATTCTTCACAGCTCCTCGAATGAGATTTTTCTTTTATTATATTTAATAGTTAAAAGATATAAATGGAGTTTTTTTGAGCAACAAAACATCACCTATACAAACAGTTTATTGCTTCTGCGAGTGACAGAAGTTTAACAGAAATCAATAAAATTGATCATCATTCAAAGTAAATCATTTTGCCCCCCTTAAAAAAAATTTTAGCAGCAGATAGTGATTAACTCTTATATATAACATGCTTATCTGAGTATGAGTCACTATTAATAAGACTTTAACTAAGAGAAAAACAAAATTTATTACTTTCTCTATTCCAAATTATAAGATGTTTTAGGGGAGATTTAATGTCTTAAAATATAAGATACTTTGAGAAGATCAAAATTTTATTAAATAAGCCTATTTCAATATGACTCTTTCTCTCTCTCTCTATTTAATAATTAAGTGTAAATTTATGGTTATTAAATGAAGGTATTTTTAAAAGTTTATATTTTTGTTTTGAAAAAATAAGATTGTTAACTATATTTAATGAGATTCATTAGTATATGAGATTTTATCTAAAAATGTCTTATAATTTGAAATTGAGTGAGTATTATTTTAACACTCAACAAAATACATTCCAATCAAGAAAAGTGGCTTGCATAAATCCATCTTCATATGGACATGACTTGTTCGCTATGCAAATTGTTCACGGCAAATTCATAGTGTGAACAAACAGCACATTCATTCTCAACTCAATTATGAGCAATCTCTTGTTCATGGCTTTAGCATCTGAGCTATGCTTCGCACGGTTGGCCTCGATTGAGGGTTAATTTGTAAGCCTGAAAGGGCTAGATTGTTAATCAGATCCAATTCTTTCAAAATTTGGTTCCCTGAAGGTGGTGATAGTGGTGGGTCTAGGATCTCCTTTAAATTAACGTTTTGAACTCCAAATGTTTGTATATCAGAAATCAGATCACCTGGATGCTTCCCCATGAGAAGCTCAACAACCAAAACACCAAAGCTAAACACATCACATTTCTCAGTCAACTAACTGTTGGAGCTAACTATTAAAAAAAAAATTAGCTAATGATTTTTTGTAAAATAACCATTATATATTTGGTAAGTATATAATGGTTATTGTCAAAAAACCGTTATATAGGCAAGGTTCATGGAACTCAAAACTAGAACAAGCTATGTAACAGTTATTTGTAAATAGTGATTAAAAACTATTATATATATATATATATATATATGTATTGGCAAACATAAATGGTATGTAGAGACCTTTTCGCAGTATACAATCCCAAACCTATGGGGTGAGACAATGAGTGAATAACACTACAAATAAATTTCCTACTCCAATAAAATGAAACATGAGCTTTTATATATAGATTTTAGGGTTACAAATTAACTAGGTGATTAACACTGTTGACAAACCTAATCAACTTGAGGGGTTGGTGGAAGGATGAATTCATCAAGATGACTGGTTTGTTATCATGTTAATCATTAAAAGAAAAATAAATTAACAAATTTAAAGGAGGACAAGAGAAGTAAAGTGATCAATTAAATGTGTGCTGCTTAAAGATAAATGTGTTTTGTGCTTGACCTAATAATTTCTTGGCTTCTGGACTTTTATGTTCAGAGAGGGGGGGCAATACTTGTCAATTAAAAACAGAAGCAAAAGCACAAAAGAAACAAAGTTAAAGAAAAAGCAACAGAAAGAAAGTAAAGGAAAAAAAAGGAAAGAACATAAAGTGAAAATGACAAAAGAAAAAAGACAATAAAAAAGTTGGTAAAAAAGAAAAAGAAATGGACACAATTTAAAGAAATACAAAAGAAAAAAAGCAATAGGAAGTAAATATCTAATTAAGAAATCAGAAGGAAAAAAAGCAAGAAAACTAAAATATAAAAAGTAAGATAGAAAGGAAAACATTCCTCATTTTCCGTTAAAATTAGCTTAAAATTGTGGGGAAAAGGACCTTTTGTTTTTTTTTTTTTTTTTTTTGCTAAAGTGCTTACTAATCTGAGCTGACTCATTTCTTTTAACAACTTTGCATTTGAAGGAGGTTTGTGAATACACCAGCTGCTGGAATAATGGTGGCCAGGTGATCTATTAATGGCTAGTGTTGAACAACCTTTAAAATAAGTTGAGTTCTATCGTGTTTTGCTTGAAGAATATGACATTCATAGATTATATTATTATTATTTTATTTCCAATTAGTTTGTACTGTATATTTATTTTCTTTTAAATTTATTTATAAACATTGTTATAATAAATAATATTTGGCTAATAATTTAAGGACCAAATTTGTTTGTTCTTTTGTTAGCTCTTGGGCGAAAATAAAATGTTTGTGAATTATATATATATATATATATATATG